AGAGGGATTATACTGCAGTATCCCATTACTTTATTCGTTATATTTTTCCTTTCTTGATGTTCAAAGCCTCAGAACATTGTTATAACGGATAATAACAATAAGAGTTAAAAACATGAAGAAACCATTACACTGAGAAGACACTGTTCTCCTCTTGGAAAAAAAAAAATAATTCACTATATTGAGAATTGCTCTTTTAGGAATGACTATTTGAAACTCTCTTATCGCAATTATCCTCGTAAAATGGCTCACGTGAAAAGGCTGTTATTCTTCACTTCCCCAGAGATAACCTTTAATACAACGTATCCTAAACACTATTGTAGGACTGCCTGACAGACTGAATCTTGGGAGCAGATGATCAAACCCGCTAGTAACTCAGCTGCTAACGTCACAGATACAATTAAGCCCTCCCAGTTGGGGGTCTGCAGAAAGCCAAGGGTCTCTGTGACCATCCAAACCAGTATGGAAACTGGGTGCCCTAGCATGCACCTCCTGAACACCACTGCCAGAAAAATCCCACAGCTGAACAAAGGGGCTTATTTCTGAAAATTTTGGCAGCCCATGTCACACGCCCTCCCAGTAAACCTCTTTTTTCCAATTCCTGAGGCACCTCTGCCATGAGATGGCAAAGGAGACAGCAACAACCCAACACATGATTCCTGCTTCACCATCCCTCACCTTCCCAGAGCTGTGGGCACGACTCTGAGCACTAGGATCAGATCAAGAGACTAATCTGGCTTAACAAAATATAATAAAATACCCTTCCTCCAATTTTTTGAAACCTGCATCAAGTCTCCTGTGGCAGAATCAGAACAGCCATACGAGTATCTGTGGGTACACGGGGGTGCCTGGAACTAGGGACAGTGAGGGAACGAAGGACTCAGATGGGGTAGCTTTAACACAGCCTAAATGCTGCCTTCTAAACCCCCACCATTTTCTTTCCTTCATGGTCAAGTTTTTTTGTCAAAATACTCTCTACACGCAAAAATGTAAACTGGACCTTGTCATTTCAGGGGCTGAATCAATCTCCCCCTTTGGGGAGGCAACTCCACCATCCCATGGGAAGCAGCAGGGACTTGTGCTGGTTTTAAAGACCTGGGGGGAAGAGGGAGGGAATTGGGGTGCAGAAATGAAACCTACCAAGCTCCCCCGCGGCTTTGATGTCAATATTGTCGTAGCCACTGCCTATTCGAACAATGACCCGTAAGGCCTTGAACTTCTCTAGATCTTCTCGAGTCAGCGTGATGGTGTGGTACATCATCGCCCCCACAGCTTCGTTTAATACCTGGAACAGAACAGAGAGGTCAGAAGGCACGGGGACACCCCGAGGGGATGCCTGCAGCTCCTGAATCAGCAATAGTACACAGGAAATTTTTACTGCTGGCTGTCTGACCCGGGCACGGTGCAGGTCAACACTTCCAGGTGTCACCAAAACCCTCAGGGAGGTGACCCACCAACATCAAGGCCATTCCCTTTGGGAACAGAGTGGGTAAATATCTGAAAATTATGGTGTTATGCCTGGGGAGAGAGTGCAGAGGAAGACTGACCCAGTCTCTCACCCCAACCCTTTTCCAGGTGGTTATCTGCTAATCCCTCTGCTCCCAGCCTGCAGTAATGCTGCTTTTCAAAAGGAATTAAGTTTTACGGCAGTGTCTATTGTTTTTGAACACAATTGTGTGTCACTCTAACTTCTTAACCTTCTTTTGTATGCTGGAGTACAAATACCTGTCCCACTGCTCACATTAACCTTTCCTGTATGTTTTCAAGAGGATGTAAAAAGACTTGTGCGAGGCCGTACAGTCACTCCGTGCCCTTCAATGGAGATTCAACCTTCATTGGTGCTCACCATAAGCTACTTTTGTGCTCTGGAAAGCCAAGACCTCTCCAAATTCTCCAAGACTGGCTCATCTATCATTTATCAACATCTCACAAAAACCTCTGTCCTCCTCGGCCCACATTTAATATTTGAAGCCCTGCAAAGAGTAGCACTGATGCTATTTGCAATTCTCTTTCCCACATCTTAGAATCGAATTCTGATCCCTTCAAGCCACATCTGAGGTATCTAAATGTGCACCAAGAATGATTTTAAAACAAGTATTTACAAGTGGTTGAGCTTCCAAGCAGGGACACCCATCCCCACTGCCCGGATCTGCCTGCACGCTGCCCACACCTCACCTTTTCATGGATCTCCTGAGTTGATTGTGCGTCACAGAATGCAACCGTCGCCAAGTCCTTCAGAATGGGCATCTCCACCGTGCAGTCCCTCCCGTCCAGCAGGGCCACCAGGGGCCGGGGGTGCATGGGGCCGTTCATGATTTGAGGGCGAATACCTGCAAGCAGAAGGAGAGCAGTTTTTACACCGGTGGCAGAGAGAAGGTCCCCTTGGCGGTGGTGGTACCTGCACATGGTTCTGTGTCGGGTGAGAGGGAGCAGCACATGGTTTCAGCACGTACAACAAATTTTGGGGGATGATGGCAAAAAAAAAAAAAAATTATTTCTTTATTTGAGGGGTTTTTTTCGTGTTTTTAACCCCTGAACAAGTTGTGCCCAACAAAGGGCGTCTGAGCCCTGGCACTGCTTCAGGAGTTTATCCTTTGAAGGGAGAGGAACCAGGTTTTAGTGACAGAGTCCTTTCTCACCCATGTAAAAACCCCAAACACTCCAGTGATAGAGATGGGGAAGACGATGATAGAGTCAATATTTGCTATTAATTACCAAGTCAGATCAGTTCTAAACCTTATTGCATTGTTTGCCTGAACTCCACACTTTTAATACCGTGTGTAACTACTGGAGCTGTGATACCATCACCTGTAGTAACCATTTCCTGGTGCTTTAGCTCCTTGAGGAGATACATAATTTTGCCAAACAGCTGAGGGAGGAGAAAACAGGTGTAACTAAACTCCAGCCAATGACCCAGGCTCTTCTCTCCAGGAGAATGTCGCTTTTCTGTTCACAGACCCTGGAGGAAACTGACCCTGATCCCTCGGGGGAAAACTGAGCATGTTCCCCTGGCTCAGAGGTGATATTTCCTAGAAAATATGAATTAACTGAAACCTTTATGCCTGAAACTGAAGGTTTTTCTCTCTTCCTAATTCCTCTGCTTTTTTTAAAAGCTGTTTGAACAGAAATCACTTGCTTTTTGAGTGCTTCTCTAAAGCTGTGTTAGATGCCTGGAGGTTGAGGCAGACTCTCAGCCTCTGATTAATAGATGGGCACAAGTTAATTTCCTTTAATGTGACCCAAAACGCCTTTGCCAAAAGGGACCACTCAAGTACAAGCGACAGGTAAAGTCCCTTCCAACTCTGACAATTCCATGTCCTCCTCTCCAGGAGCTGGTTTTGGGGTTTTTTTGCAGCTCACTCACTGGACCCCAGCAGAGGTACCTGAGGTACCAGCAGCTACTGAGTCCTGCGCTCTCAGGGCTCCATCCGCTCCCGTCCTGCACCATTTTGCTTCTGGGACTCCAGTTTCTCTCTGCTCTTCTCTTTCTTTCCCTGTTCTTTTCTATAGTCAGGCTCTTTTCCTTGCAGCTCTTCCCTCGCAGCTCTAGACTGGCCTTTGCAGGGTAATTCTGGACCAACTCTAACCTGGGGAGGTGAAGGTGAGGTCCAGCTTGGACACGGGTCTTGGGTAAACATCCTCCACTGCGCTACGGGGACTGCGCCTTGTTCTGTAGCTTCTGGCAGGTTGCTGGGCCATAAAAAAGCCTTTCTCTTTTGAAAAGTGGAGTAAGGAATCCTCTTGAATGCTCTCTGAAAGGCCAGTGCTGACTTAATCATTCCTGCGTGTGAAAACCTTTGAATACCTACACCCAATGTGTAAGTTTTTCCCCCACAGAAGGTCAGATGCATCTTCCTCATGGAACCAGAGAGGAAAAATGGGGTTGGATCTCATCCGTCCTCCTTTATAAGAGCAGCGTGAGTGACACCTATTCTAAGAAATGACACTGAGTTTGAGAAAGGAGCAGAAAAGAGAATTTTTTGAGCTGTCCACAGGGGAGATGTGACCTGACCACAATCACCCCCCTGCTGCTGCCACCGTCTGAGGGGGAAGTGGGGGGAGATGGGGAGGTTCTGTCTGTCCAGGAAGAGGGGGAGGTGACCCCAGCGTACAGGGACACAGCTCCTGAGGAGCTCCTCGAGGATGAAACACCCTGGAGAGGTCAAGCTGGGAAGCCAGGGCTTGTCCCCAGGGTCATGGCATCTCCCACGTGTTTCAGAGCAGTCAGGAGAGGGGGAAAGGAAGAGGCTGGCGCCAGGTTTGGATGGTTTAATCTACATGTTCTCCTGGAAAAAGTGAGCAATCGCTGCCTGGATCCTGGAGGGAGCTGTGAGCCTGCAGGGCCACGGCACATCCTCAGGGCCTCGTCCTCTCAAGAGCTCTGCTGCCAGACACGCTCCTGCCCCAAAACACAACCTGATGTACCCCAGTAGGTTTATTTGGTATCTCTGAGAGGTTTTGGCAATGGTGCCACGCTGAAGGCTGTTCTCATTCCTAACATCTCCTATTGGTGTGCTTCAAGCTGTCCAAAGCAGAGCAATAAATCTCAGGTGGAAATCAGAGCACCAGAGTGCAGGCCTGTATTTGGGGGTTTTAGCCCTGGCTCACTCGCCCACAAGCTGCCCAAGACATCAGTGCACAGACAGAAGCACAGAGCACAGCTGGAGGTTGTGTCCTTCTCTAGGGCTGTGGGGGTCCTGGCACTGGGGGAGATGCCACCCAAGTGCCTTCTGGCCCACCAGAATGAAGGCTTTCTGAAGGGGATGCTCCATAAACCTGAGCTTAAATCAAGCAGAGTTGGGAATCCCAGGAGCATTAGGAATCCCAGAAGCATTAGAAATCCCAGCAGCGCAACCATCGGTGTCCCCAAGGAGGGGGACTTCACAGCCCCCCCCCCAGCCAGGCAGAAGCTGGTCCCTGGGCTTCCTGCTCCCGTCAGAGCTGGAATCCAGCCCCCCCCTCTGCCGGGAACCCGCTGCCAGGATCCCCTTCCCCAGCTTTACCTGTACGTGGCACCATTGAGCTCCGGATGGATCGCTTGCTGATCTATTACTGACCACGGAGCCGTTGTGACAAAGAATTCCTTATTCACGCAGTTTCTTAGGCTTTCTGGGATGCGCCCTGGGGTGGGTGATAAAGGCAAGGATGTGTCAGGCCAGTCCCGGCTTCATCTCCCTCCAACAAGCTACAGATGTTCCATTTCACTATGTTTATGTAAAGGATTGGGGGGGAAAACATGTATCCCTTGTTTCCAGAGAACATTTTGACTGTCCCAAGGTGCAGGGTTGGAGCCCAGCTTCCTGCTTTCAGGAAAGCTGTTCCCTGGATCCCACTGCTTTCAAAGCAGGGGCAGCCAGACGTGAAGCTACACCTTCTGCACTAATGAGGGGGCAATTTTGAGGATAAGAGAACCACCATCTGCTGGAGTATCACAGCCACCCCCTTGGAGCAAGCTCAGTTACAGCAAGAGTTGGCCACAGGTGCCTTCTCCGCTTTGGGATTTGGTTTTGGCCCCATTTTTTGGGTTAGTACCATTAAAAGGGGCAGCAATTATTGTTTCACTGTCCTTTTCTCCCCAGCCATGGACACTAGGTGTTGCCATGCTGCACAAGGGCCCCACTGATTTTAAAAAAGCCACCTAAAAGTCACAAAAACCCCCCTCCTCCCAACCATAAACATGCCCAAATGACAGAAAAGTCAAGTTGGGTTTTCTCAGCCCCTTTCCCCGGCTCCTGCAGGGCCAGGGGGAGGGTGAAGCCCCCGCTCTGTCCCCCCCTGTGAGCTGTGGGGCAGGTACCTGTGATGGCGCGGCGTATCTCGGTAGCAGCAGCTTCTCTCATCTCCAGCGACGCCTGCTCGCTGTACCAAGCGGTGTGCGGGGTACAGATTAAATTAGGAGCATCTTTCAACGGGCCTTGAGCAAAACTGGGAGCAGGGAGGAAATAAAGACAGATTAATCAATGTTTCAAATGAGAATTAAACACGTTACGAATGGCGAAAGGCTTGTGGGCAGCCCTCAGGCCCGAGCCCTTCGCCTCTGGCACCTGGGCTGGCAGGAGCCAAAGCAGTGTCCTGCCACCCCAAATGGCCACAGACCCCCTGGGGAGGCAGCAGGCTCCAGTGCAGGGCACAAACTGAGAATGCACCCAAAACAGAGCCAACAGGGCTGAAAATCCAACCTCCTGGGGTGGTGTTCATAATGTTCCTACAGGAATAAATGCCTGGGGGTGTCTCTGCAGAGAGCGGGGACATGGGGACAGGCTGTGGGTCACCCGCAGCACAGGGCAGGAGAGGGTTAACAGGAGGGGTTCCCCCTTTGTAGAAGCACACTTTCTTTTTTTTTTTTAATATAAAATTGTTTCTGAAAACACAAGCAGCCTCCTAGTACTATGCCAATCTGTGGTGAGAGGAGCTACGCTCCCACTTAGAACCAACCCCTTCCCAGCTGCAGCAGCCGCCTGTGGGCAAAAAGGCCCAACAAAATGCAGTAAATTTGTTCTCGTGGACTAGTAAATGCTTTTTTAAAATTTTATTTCTTTTTTTTTTAAATGCAGGCCAATTGCTTGGTCTAAGTTCCTGGTGTCCCTTTGAACACCTGTAGCCCCGGTGCCAGCCCACACCCGATGGATGCTGCAGGGTGCTGGGGCTTTTCTCCAACCAGGAGGTCTGTCCCCTGGCGCTGGCCCTGTGTGACAAGGTGTGTGGGTGTGGGGGGGTGTGTGTGTGTGTGTCCCCTCCACGCTGCTATGGATGACAACCCAAGAGAAAATCAGATCTTTACCTAAATGGTTCAGACTCGTGCACGTCAAGCGCAGCCCCTCGTATCCGTCCCTCCTTCAGGGCTTGAGTTAAGGCCTTCTCGTCCACCAGCCCCCCGCGCGCCGTGTTCACCAGGAAGGCTCCCTGCCTCATCTGGCCGGGGACAGAGAGATGACAGTGAGCTCCGTGCGGTGACAGGGTCCCACCCCTGCACTGACACAGCAGTGGGTGCCTCCATCCTGGACTGCACCCCGCTTTCCACACACCACGGGGAGAGAGACAGGCTGTGGGTGCCACCAGCTATTTCTGAGGTAGCCCAGAGGCACTAAGGTGCTGGCTCGCTGTGGCTGTGACCGCAGAGGGACCCAGGGACACCACCAACGCGTGGGGTTTGCCCACTGAAGAGCAGAGCACCCTTCATCGTGTGCACGTGGCAAATTACCTGCTTAATCGTGAAGTCGTTGATGAGGTGGTGGTTGTGTTCGTTAAGGTTACAGTGCAACGAAACGCAGTCGCTCTGGTAGAGCAGGTCCTGGAGCGTGTAGACCCGCTGGACTCCCAGGGACCTCTCTATCCCGTCCTGCAGGTACGGGTCGTAAAATATCACGTTGAAGCCGAAGGCCTTGGCTCGGACCGCGACCGCCTGCGCTGTGCGACCTGTGTGCAGAGGAAAAGGGGGTTAATTCAACTCATTCCCACCACCCATAGTCTGATCTTCCCCCACAGCACGGCCCAGAGACTGCTGGAGGGGTCTCCTGGACCTCCTGAACTCCCAGGACAGCCCCCGAGGGGACACTCAGGGGCCAGAGGGCAAACCCAGGCCACCTTGCACAGGGAGGGCTCTGCTTGGCTTTAGCAAATGTGAGCTGCTTGGGTTAAAATTTTAAAGAAAATGAAACAAAATGAAGCGTGAGGCCATCAGACACCTGCCAGCTCACGTGGCACCATCCATGGCCATGCAGGTTGGGTGGGGAAGGCCCAACATGTGGCTCAGCCCTACCAACATGCAGCTCTGGACATCACAGAGAAACAATCCTCTGCGGTGCGGTGTCTACTAAGAAAAGCTGAAAAAAGAAAGAAAAAAAGCACCGCCTTTTTTAGGCTACTTGTTTGTGACAGGTTTTTCAGCCTCTCGCTGAAGGGCGGGTTAATTGGGCATGAGGAAGACAACTGTCATGGCTGGGAAGCAAAGAGCCAGTACAGCGCTGTGCTGGGGAGGGATGTCTGTGGCCCTCCTGGTGACCCCCCCGACCTGTCCCCACGAGGACTCTGCAGGATCCATGTGTGGAAATGCTGCTGGGGCGTTCATGTCCCTCGCTGGCAGCCACCTTTCAGCAGCCAGAACTGCTCCCTCAACTGACACTTTGCCAAATCTCATGTTTCTGCCACTTTGCATGTGTCCAGCCACCAAGAGCTGGATGGGTTTCTCCTGCCCAGAGGTACCTCTTGACCCATCTTATGATGGTTGGACTTTGCTCCCAAGAGGGACAGCCAGGAGGGCCATTAGGAAAGGTGCTGATGCTGAAACTCTATTGCTATGGGTTAACTGAAGACAGTTTTTGTTTCTTGCAGCCCCGCCACTAAGTAGGGCAGAGTGGCTCAGAAAGAGCCCGGTTGGTGTAGCCATGGCTCTGGGATGGGCTATTTTCAGAAGACAGCAGCCCTACCAGGTATGGCACCTCTTGGGGGACCACCAGGTTTCACCACCACCCCTCCAAGCACTCAGCTGAGGCTTGGAAAATTTATCTCCTTCCCCAAAAAATCAGGTAAGACGCTCTCCCTACTTCACAGAATCACAGAATCTTCTAAGTTGGAAGGGACCTTAAAGATCATCTTGTCCAACCGTCAACCTAATTGACAAAAGTAGTCACCCACACAACAAACAAGGAGCATCATCACTAAACCATACCTCCCAGCACTACATCAACCCGTCTTTTGAACACCTCCAGGGATGGTGCCTCAACCACCTCCCTGGGCAGCCCATTCCAATGGCTGAGAACCCTTTCAGTGAAAAAATTTTTCCTAATATCCAGCCTGAACCACGGTGGTGGTTCTGGTTTTGAAAATGCTCATTTTAGGTCCTTGCTCAGTGCTGAGTCTTCCCCGAAGGCCGACCTGCTGTGGGTGGGCTGCCTGCCCCTCGCCAACCTACCGAAGCCGATGAGGCCGAGCGTCTCCCCCCGGATGCGTGCGGCGCCGGAGGCCACCTCCCGGATCTGCTCCACGCTCTGCACCCTCGTGCCCTCCCGCAGCGCCTGGTAGAGCCACGTGTTCCGGCGGTAGAGGTTGAGGACGTGGCAGACGGTGGAGTCGGCCGTCTCCTCCACGGCGGCCGAGGGGATGTTGCAGACGGCGATCCCTGCAGAGGCAACACCACAAAGCACAGCTCAGCAAAGCACGGGAGATCCTGGCCCTTCGCCCTCACATCCCAGCATTTTTTTTAAGCATTTGGAATAATGTTTTCCAAGGATGTGCACGGTTTAGGTACAGCAGCCTGAAATCTCTGCAAAAACCACCATGACCAGTAATGCTCCGGGGGTCCCCAGTGTCTCTGGAGAAAGGACAAGTGCAGATTTGGAGTGTGACTGTGATGCAGGAGTAACCCCAGCAGCAAAGGTTTGCTTTGCAATAGAAAGGCTTATTTTCATTTGGTTTAATCTACCTTAACTCGCGCTGGCAGAAGTCACTCCTTTTCCACCATGAGACTGCTCAACCATTAAGTTATTTAGGGACCCATAACAGGAGGGTGCACCAGGTCGGTGAGGCAGGGCCACCTTCTCCTTCCACCAAGTGCCAAAATGATGGACTTAAAACACCGCCTGCCCAAGCCCCTAATGAAGGGAGAGGGAGGGATTCCCAAGAAGACCAAGGTGTTCCCAAGAATTTTAAGTATCAGGCAACTGCTCCTGCCCAACTGTAGGCAGAGGCCGTGGTTGTCCATGGGGGAAGAGAAGAGACAAGAAGGAGGAGGAACAGGGTCCCCATCACCAACTTGTCCCTCTTCTGATGGACCCCTTGCTTATATGAGCTTCTTGCGCTGTATTTACTCTTGTGCCCACAGACGCTGGAGCTGCCAGCACTGGAGGTTAAATACCCACAGCAGATGGTACAACAGCAGCATCTTGTTCTGGGGGTGTCTTCTAATGGGTCAAAACTGGTCCCACCAGCCCTCCCAGCAAGGTGCACGTGGCCACCAGTGCGTGGCCAGGCATTGTGTTTAGAGACTGGTCATTTATTGACTCTGTGGTTTAAAAACTACCTTATGGAAAGCAATACCAATTAAACTTTACGCTACATTTGTGGGTAGTCATTACATTTTCTACTCGAAACCACATCATTTGGCCACCCAATTTGCCAAGTATAAAAAGAGGGATTATACTGCAGTATCCCATTACTTTATTCGTTATATTTTTCCTTTCTTGATGTTCAAAGCCTCAGAACATTGTTATAACGGATAATAACAATAAGAGTTAAAAACATGAAGAAACCATTACACTGAGAAGACACTGTTCTCCTCTTGGAAAAAAAAAAATAATTCACTATATTGAGAATTGCTCTTTTAGGAATGACTATTTGAAACTCTCTTATCGCAATTATCCTCGTAAAATGGCTCACGTGAAAAGGCTGTTATTCTTCACTTCCCCAGAGATAACCTTTAATACAACGTATCCTAAACACTATTGTAGGACTGCCTGACAGACTGAATCTTGGGAGCAGATGATCAAACCCGCTAGTAACTCAGCTGCTAACGTCACAGATACAATTAAGCCCTCCCAGTTGGGGGTCTGCAGAAAGCCAAGGGTCTCTGTGACCATCCAAACCAGTATGGAAACTGGGTGCCCTAGCATGCACCTCCTGAACACCACTGCCAGAAAAATCCCACAGCTGAACAAAGGGGCTTATTTCTGAAAATTTTGGCAGCCCATGTCACACGCCCTCCCAGTAAACCTCTTTTTTCCAATTCCTGAGGCACCTCTGCCATGAGATGGCAAAGGAGACAGCAACAACCCAACACATGATTCCTGCTTCACCATCCCTCACCTTCCCAGAGCTGTGGGCACGACTCTGAGCACTAGGATCAGATCAAGAGACTAATCTGGCTTAACAAAATATAATAAAATACCCTTCCTCCAATTTTTTGAAACCTGCATCAAGTCTCCTGTGGCAGAATCAGAACAGCCATACGAGTATCTGTGGGTACACGGGGGTGCCTGGAACTAGGGACAGTGAGGGAACGAAGGACTCAGATGGGGTAGCTTTAACACAGCCTAAATGCTGCCTTCTAAACCCCCACCATTTTCTTTCCTTCATGGTCAAGTTTTTTTGTCAAAATACTCTCTACACGCAAAAATGTAAACTGGACCTTGTCATTTCAGGGGCTGAATCAATCTCCCCCTTTGGGGAGGCAACTCCACCATCCCATGGGAAGCAGCAGGGACTTGTGCTGGTTTTAAAGACCTGGGGGGAAGAGGGAGGGAATTGGGGTGCAGAAATGAAACCTACCAAGCTCCCCCGCGGCTTTGATGTCAATATTGTCGTAGCCACTGCCTATTCGAACAATGACCCGTAAGGCCTTGAACTTCTCTAGATCTTCTCGAGTCAGCGTGATGGTGTGGTACATCATCGCCCCCACAGCTTCGTTTAATACCTGGAACAGAACAGAGAGGTCAGAAGGCACGGGGACACCCCGAGGGGATGCCTGCAGCTCCTGAATCAGCAATAGTACACAGGAAATTTTTACTGCTGGCTGTCTGACCCGGGCACGGTGCAGGTCAACACTTCCAGGTGTCACCAAAACCCTCAGGGAGGTGACCCACCAACATCAAGGCCATTCCCTTTGGGAACAGAGTGGGTGAATATCTGAAAATTATGGTGTTATGCCTGGGGAGAGAGTGCAGAGGAAGACTGACCCAGTCTCTCACCCCAACCCTTTTCCAGGTGGTTATCTGCTAATCCCTCTGCTCCCAGCCTGCAGTAATGCTGCTTTTCAAAAGGAATTAAGTTTTACGGCAGTGTCTATTGTTTTTGAACACAATTGTGTGTCACTCTAACTTCTTAACCTTCTTTTGTATGCTGGAGTACAAATACCTGTCCCACTGCTCACATTAACCTTTCCTGTATGTTTTCAAGAGGATGTAAAAAGACTTGTGCGAGGCCGTACAGTCACTCCGTGCCCTTCAATGGAGATTCAACCTTCATTGGTGCTCACCATAAGCTACTTTTGTGCTCTGGAAAGCCAAGACCTCTCCAAATTCTCCAAGACTGGCTCATCTATCATTTATCAACATCTCACAAAAACCTCTGTCCTCCTCGGCCCACATTTAATATTTGAAGCCCTGCAAAGAGTAGCACTGATGCTATTTGCAATTCTCTTTCCCACATCTTAGAATCGAATTCTGATCCCTTCAAGCCACATCTGAGGTATCTAAATGTGCACCAAGAATGATTTTAAAACAAGTATTTACAAGTGGTTGAGCTTCCAAGCAGGGACACCCATCCCCACTGCCCGGATCTGCCTGCACGCTGCCCACACCTCACCTTTTCATGGATCTCCTGAGTTGATTGTGCGTCACAGAATGCAACCGTCGCCAAGTCCTTCAGAATGGGCATCTCCACCGTGCAGTCCCTCCCGTCCAGCAGGGCCACCAGGGGCCGGGGGTGCATGGGGCCGTTCATGATTTGAGGGCGAATACCTGCAAGCAGAAGGAGAGCAGTTTTTACACCGGTGGCAGAGAGAAGGTCCCCTTGGCGGTGGTGGTACCTGCACATGGTTCTGTGTCGGGTGAGAGGGAGCAGCACATGGTTTCAGCACGTACAACAAATTTTGGGGGATGATGGCAAAAAAAAAATGCAATGTGAAGTTTAGTACAAGGTTTGTTTTTCTCTCTGGGAGTACGACTGAGGTTTTGCCACAAGGAGAGAAAACACAGTGGGTTTTGCTCCCAGGACAAGGGTAGACAATGCCATTTCATCCCCCTGTGACTTTGTGGTTGTCTCTGCTGCACCGTTCCTCACCGACACAGGCTCCATTTCAAGCAAACCACCTGGGCCAGAGCTACCAGCCTCTTCTGCTGTTTTATTCAGCATCTTAGGAGCTAAACCCAAGCCAGCAGTCATTTTTTCCCCTGCCGGCAGGAGGGCTGGGATTCCGCTCCACAGACGTACGCTGGCACTGGGTCTGGTTTTTTAAGGAATGACTTTACCATTTTGACCACCTCAGAAAGACAAGCCTGAACAGACTTCCACTACAAAAAAACGGATGGGTTTGAACCCAAAAGATATAGATTAGATATGGACTAGATATAAGGAAGAATTTTTTTACACTGAGGGTGGTGAGACACTGGCACAGGTTGCCCAGAGAGGTGGGAAATGCCCCATGCCCAGGAACATTCAAGGCCAGGTAGGACGGGGCTCTGAGCAACCTGATCAAGTAGAAGATGTCCCTGTTCATGGCAGGGGGTGGACTAGATGGCCTTTGAAGGTCCCTTCCAACTCAAACCATTCTATGACTCTATGAAAAGCACAGGAAGAGCAGGACACCGAAGATCTCTTTAGCATCCAGGCACACACTGTCACTTTACCAACTACCAAAAGGCTTCAAGGTGGGAACGGCGGAGCTCAGCTTACTCTGTAAAACCAACCCGGGTCTATCCCTGCAGGATGCCTGTCTCTGGCACTGTTTGAGTAATTCGGACCAAAGCTGAGGGCGGGAGGCTGGCCCTCACACAGGGTGGGTACTGCTCCACCCCTCTGGACCAGTTAACGCCAGGAATCGTGTCACTGCAGCACCACATGCCAGAAAAATGACAATGAGGGAAAGATACCTACTGAGAAGAGCAACGCACTGATTTTTAGTTATTTGGGTTTTTAAAGGGAAAATTAAGCATGCTTTTTTGTCCAGATTGCTGTCGGGTAAAGCATTAGCAAGATCTCCACCAGCTGATGCATGTGTGACAGACACGGGCACTATGGGCCAAAGTGATGCCTCCCAGAGCGTGCCAACACCAAGAGCATCCCCTTGGGGAGGGATCTACACTGCTGCATATGAAATGTGGGAGAACACACAGTTACATCTCTTTTGTATGCGAAAAATTAACCCCATGGAAACAGGTAAGTTACAGAGGGGGTTTAATGGCTCTCTGTTCCTGTTTTATTGAATCTGCTTTAAGAAACGAAGAACCAACCAACGCAGCAGACCTGACTGAAGATTTTCAGCATTACACGTGCATGTTTTTTGGAACAGGTCCTTCTCTCTCTCTTTCCTACCAAGATCTCCATTAGCACGTACTGGGAGTAATACATTACGTTTGCATGCATTTCATCCAGATGGAAGTGCAACTGTGTCAGTAGGCAGGGTAGAGCACCGAGACGATTTGGATAACTGAAAGAAGCTTGCCATAAGCAGATAAGCGAGAATAAAAACATGTCCAAATCTCAGAGCTCTTACACAATCCTCATGCGAAGCACTATCCCGCAGCTAGATTATTTTCTCAGGTTAACAAGCGAGTGAATTATAACACTGACTTAAATGCTTGCTAATGTGTATGATCTCCCAGGCTTAGAGCATCACCCATCACACAGCCTCACGCCCCAACCGTAAATAAAAAGGAATGTGATGCAGGGGTGAGGTGGCCGTGGTGGTCCCAGCCCTGGTGGCCACCAGCACCATCCATATGGCTCTGTGTGGGCAAGCTGAGCTCAGACCTCGGTGCCCACCGGGGACCAGGACCATCCTCAGGCAGAGCAGGGGGCACACGGAGGCTGGTGGTGGCACATGGAAGACGAAACCACGGGTTATCTGAAACTTTGACATTTAATCCGAGCCCCAAAATAACGGTTTTATTCTGCTGCCATTACATAAGCTTCTTTGAAAGTCAAACGAAACATAGCTTTTTTTTTTTTTTTTTTTTTTTAAAACAGCATCTGTGTCTTTGCTGGGGATTAGGGATGTAATTGTGCATGATGACACAGGCTTCTTAGGCACGTCACCCTCGCCCGCACACAAAAGTGCAGTCGCCGAGGGTGACTGCTGGCTGGAGACCCCGAGGTAGTTGGAGGAATGTCTCTCATTCCTCCCCACTTCAACGAGGGAATTTACTTCAGCCTGACAAGGAAAGTTTTGAAGCAAATCAATACGAGATGAAGTGCATAATGTATGGAAATTACGTTTTAATAAAAACCATTGGCAGGTTTGCCACTTAAACAGCTGTATATTTTCCTCGCCCGCCTCTCTCGCTGCCTCTCCACCACCCTGTGTCTATTCTTCACTGTCCTGGTTCCTACCCCCTGCACAAAACCAGTCAAACCAATACACTCGGGCTGACAAAACCAATCCAAACTCAATATGATATTCCTTTTACCCAAGCTCATACAGCCCGTTTGTTCTGCGTGCGACTGCTTCATTAAGAACGAGGTATGCCACGGATCAGAAAGTAATTAAACAGCCAGACACTACCCCCCCACACACAAAATTCTGATAAAACATCACAACCATTAACCCTTTCACTCTACCACCGGGCTTACTCCACCGAGGGCTACGATGCTGTGGAAAACAAGCCCCCCACTGCCTGGTGTGGACCAGGAGCCAGGGGACCAGTTCCCCTTGGGGCTGGGGTGGGATCAGCTCTCCCTCCTTCCCTCCAGCCTCCCAAATTCGGGGGCTCCCCCAACCATCTGAAGCTGATTTTGCCGATAAAGCCTCAGCCGTTCCTGCAAAGTTGCGGTAAATATTGCTCAATCTGTGGTTTTTTTAAGGCGTTTTCAGCTGCCCGCGGACCCTCGCCGGCATTGCAGGGAGAGCCTGGGTAAGGAAGAGGGAGAGGAAGAAGGGTTTATGGAAAAAGAAATAGGAAAAAAAAAAAAAAGAAAGGTTTTGCAGTCACAGTGAGAACTCAAACTCCACCCCGGCTCACAGGCAGCGCCGCTTGTTGCACGCAGCCCCGCGTATAAAGTGCTTTTGTTTCATTTTTAATACACAAAGCCTGCTTGTCCTCTCCTGCCGCTCCTCCCCTTTGCCACCCACTTGTATCCGATCCCAATGGCACCCCTGCCAAGAGAATTAGGGAGTGCTCCCTGCTAAATGGCAGCCTTTGTGTGACCGCAAGACGGCTGGTACTATCTCACAGAAACAAAAGCAGAAGCCATTTGCCTAATTCTTATTAATCTCAGTTGCCTACGCCGCACAGCATTAAAAAAAAAAAAAAAAAAGGAAAAAAAAAAAAGCTTTAAACATGTTCACTTGCAGTATATAAAAGTGCATCAAGAAGCGATCCTGCCACTCGCCTGAATTACCCGTTCACAACAAAGTAGCTACAGTTTTACAGTCAACTACACACTTTATTAAACAAACAGAAAAGAAACAGGAAATTTCCCCTTGCCTGGAAAATGTTGCCTCCACATTCTTCTTCTTATTAAAAACCACACATGGCAGTGGAGGAGGAGGGAGGGAGGAGGAGGGGGGGGAACCCACACACGATAAAATACTACCACTTTTCAGTGCGTTGCCTCTCCTTTTCGTCTACGAGGGGGTATCTTCAAACAGGCAATCCCGCGGCCCACAGCTGCAACATCTCAAGACAAATGTCTCTTTGAAACACGGAGGGAAAAGAAAAGGCTTTTGTCCTGAGCCACAGAAGAATAGTCTGAAATTGCAAGAGGAGTTACAGTCACCTCTGCGCGGCTCCCAACTCTTCCGAGCACTCCCTCCAGACTTTGCCGAAGCTTTTAACTAATCGTAGTTCTTTCCCAGCCCTTGAATAAAATCATGTGAGTGCCAGCCAAAAAATCTTATGCTATGCACACTAAAGGGTTTGTATATGTCACAGTTGCTTTTTCCCCCCTTCCACTCCCCTCCTCCTATTGACTTGCACATACGGCGGGCTTTTTTTCGAGTTGTCTCAAATGGATTTAATCTGTGCCATGCTGCGTTTTATGTTTGTTTGGGTTTTTTTTGTGTGTGTGGGTTGTTGTTTTTTTTTTTTTTTAAACTTAAAAATGAAACATGCCTTTCCATGCGGAGTATATTGAACGAGGCTCCAGAAACAGGCAGAGAGGCTTTAGCAGCAGCAGCAGCACCACGAAAACCAACACAAAGCACGGGGGGAAAGCAAGGCTGGGCTGATCCCACCTAGCACCCTGAAACCAAGGGATAATCTCACCTAGCACCCAGAAACCAAGGGCCAAAGTCTTTCTTGATGCGTAAATCAACTGGTTTTCACCATCAGAAATGACACCCTCTTGCTGGCGGGATTCACATCTTCTTGGAGATGCCCATCTCCTGGTCTTGCCCAGTTTGTCCCAAATAAGTAAAAGTGGCCCCGTATCATCCTCATCCCACTCCCACACCCCAGGGAAGTGCTGCTGTGGGATGTGGCCAAGGAGCAATGTCCCCTCTCCAGAGCACGCAGCAGCTCATGGCTTGGAGCGGTTGGTTTTTTCTCTTTGCAGTTGCCACCATCATTGTCAGCTACAGCAACAGCTTAGAGACCCTCCTCATCCAAGAAATAAGGAAAAAAATCTGAATCTCACCCCCAATTTAATACTGTTAGTGCTACATCTTACTATTTGCCATTCCCTGGTGAAAGAGCGGCGCCAGATCATTAACAGAGGGATCTAGGTAGCCTCTGTGCAAACTACCTTGGATCCACCAACCTGATTTTCAGCCATGGAAGCCAAAACCAGACCAGAGTGCTGT